CCAGGACGCAGGTCTTTTTTTTTTTTTTTTTTTTCTCATTTCCCAGATACAGCTGATCGAGTTCGCCGAGTGGCCGAGCGAGTGAGCGCTCCTCGAACTTGGGTGGAGGAAAGCACGGAAAAAGTATACTGGAGAAAAAGTGGGGGCTTTTAGGAGTGGGAGTGGTAAAGAAGGAGAGAGTGGAGTGGGGGATCCTCAAACCATTGCACTTCTAAAAAGATCATAGCTAGTATCAACAACACATGTCACCCTTGCTTCCTTTTGAAGAGGAGGTGGACGAAAAAATACAGGTAGGTTTTGCAATTAAAATAATAGGTGCCAGAGGTTTCACACTGGGTCCGTTGCATCTGATATTCAAAAGATGAACATTGGCTGATTCCCGTCAATCACCCGTCAAAATTATTAGGAAGAAAAATTTTTACCTTTGGTTACTTCTGACAATAATATTCGGATTATGGGTGCAGCAGCCACAAAAAAAATGTTACAAACATTATCTCGTGATTATCCCTCACTAGATCACTCACCCCGGAATGACCAAAGAAAGTAGTTCAACATAGAATTTACACAATTTCGACGTCTGGGTAGCAAACTTTGAAGTTTATTGGGCAAGCATTTTAAAAACCGAARTGTTGGGTTCCAACATAAAGCCAGAGAAAATTCACTTTGGTTTGATATTTCTTGGATGAAAAATAACCAGTAAGATTAAAAAAAAAATAATGTCGCTCTTAAAGAGCTCCTTGGGCTTTGTAAGTAACAAATGCTAAAGAGAGAGTCTCCAGCTGCAGCTAGAAGGTCCCGTTCACCGGCAGAGTAAACGGCTTTTAATAAAGCAGTCGCGTTTATGACTTAAAGATCCCATAAAAGCTAGGGCTTGCAAGAGCTTCGAAACATAGACACTCATACCTAGTCGTTTAGATGCTCATTTTTTTTAAAGTAGGAAGAAACAAGTATTTTTTCTGTGTCCCTCAAATTTAATCATAGCAAAGGTTGAATCAAGTGCTGTGATAACAGTATTTATTAAGAGTATGGCCAGTACACTGGTCGACCACTGCTACCATCTTCTACACACACACACACACACACACACACACACACACACACACCACTGTTTTCTGGGACATTTACAATTTCAGCCTCAAATTCATCAAACTGTAAAGAGGATATTAAGTCTTCTCTTTTGAATAAGAATAGCGTTGGTAGCATGTGTCTGTCTATACCCTGCAGGAAACTTTTGGCACGAAATTCAAACATTGAAAAGAAAGGGGGAAAAATCAGGTCGACCAGGTTATTGCCCAGGATAAGAAAAGAGACTTACGTGAGCATCCCCAGCTTTCTTTTCGTCCCCTTTTCGCTGCCCCCAGACACTCCCTCCTTCCATTATGGAAACAACACAGACGAATGCACACACACCAGTCACACCTCCAGTGAACGGCTACTGTATCAAGTGTTCTAATSGAGATGTGACAGTTTAAGCTGGGAACTGAAATAATCTATCAACATGCCCATTAGATACAGGCTGGAATAATGCTTCTATTGGTTGGGTCCCTTCGAGGTAAGCGGGTGTATTAAGCACGGAATTTGGGTTCTGAGAATAGATCAAAGCTACTTTCTTTTTTTCCCCGTCCTATTATTTTTCCTTAAGAATCTATTTGTACACATAAGTTACCGTCAGCCTACAAATAAACTGGTAGGAGTAAACAGTGTATGCCCTCCACACCTTAAAGCCATCTGCTCAGTTTGACATTTAAAGGGAGGAGGCCAGGAAAGGAAAAGGGAGAGAAGCAGGAAGAAAGGAGGCAAGGAAAGAGAATAAGATTCAGACTCTGGAAAGAAATGGCTTAAACTTGAGCCCACAAGTTTGGGGCAATTGCACCTAGCGCTCGGATGCACGTTTTGCACACACCACTCCTGGGATCTGGCGGCGGGAAAAGTTTCCTGCGCACGGAGTAAGTCCTGTATCACGCCGAGGGCAAAGCAGGCCCGAGCTGAAGTCCGGGTAACCCACTTGACAAACAAGGAAACTCCCCTACCCCTAGTCTGGGCGACGAAGGCTCGCGGCTCGCCCCGCTCTGCCGCGGCAGTTCGCAGCCCGCATTAGGGCGCAGGAGCCGCTGTAAGAGCGCGTGCGACTCTGGGCTAGCGAGCTCGGTCTACAGCCCAGCTCCCGGAGCTGCCTACGCCGAGCCCTGTCTTGTCCCCTACTGTCGGGGCGACCGAACAGGCCAGGCTGCTGGCAACCTCTCTTGTCAGAGCTGCGGCTCTCTCCCGGGTTTCAGGCGGCCCTGGAGCAGGGCGAGAGGCCCAACCCCCCATATCTCGGGCGACTCCTGGTTTGTTTTCTGATAGGGAACAAGCGATCAGTCAGCCCGGAGACGAGAAGTCGCCTAGATATTGGCTCCATCTGTGAAACCAGCAGCCAAGCCTAGGGTCAACGCATACCCCTTTCCCTGCCCCATTGCCAACACAATCCCAGTAACTTTAAAGTTAACCCAAGTTCTGACCGGCCTTCTAACAAACTCTCTCCCTGCAGGTTGCCTTTGCTTATTTATCTGAGAGGTAATCTGTGTGCTCTTAGTCAAACTCTTGCAATTATCACTCAGACATCTGGTTTTGGGTTAAACACACTTGCCTTGACATTTCCTTGGTCTATTACCCCCTCTTGTTCTTTCTTAGAGCCCTTAGGTAAGGGTAGGAGGGAAAGCAGTGCATGCAAGTAACTCAAAACCTTACAAACAACTGTCATCAGATCTTAAAACTAATTTGGGGGATTTTTGACCAGATCCAGTTGAGAGGCAGACATGATTGTGGATTTCAGAGAAGGATGCCCAAGAACCTTCACAGTCACCAGTTCACCAACCCAACCACCCACCACCACTACCACCAACCCGAGGAAGGGAGGACAAAGAGAAACCACCCCCAGGGTGCAGGCCTGCTGTAGGTTGCCTAGAGGCAGACTGACTGCTGGCCTCTCTCATTCTCATCCCCAGTGCCCTGTGTGACGCCAAACCCAACCTGAATTTGTTCTGAATGTGGGGGGGGGGGGGGAGAAAGTGAAATGCCACAAGATCAGTAGCAAGTAGCAGCTGCAGCGTTTCTCTCTTGGGAACCCCATTGCTTAGAAGCCTCCGAGTGATGTTTGTTTAACCAACAGCTTTCAAAATAAACAAGAGAAATCACTCCAAATAAGTTGAAATATAACCCTTACAAGAATTTAGAATCATAGGTGCTGTGAGGAAAAAAAATAATAATTTTTAAAATAAAATAAAGCCCCCACCTCCAAATAAGAATCTTCCCTTTTACCTAGAGGAGTGCAGTTGTCATAAAAGTATAAATTCATTGGAAGGAATCATTACAATAAGGTGACCTCGAAGAAAATCACCAGTCCCCCACAAACACACACCCGCGGGGAAGAGGAGTTGTCAGTGATTTAAGGGTCACACGACTACTTGATTTTATGGAAGTGGGTGAAAACGATCAAAGGAAGGTACATTCCCTGCCCTGAAGTAATAAGGAGTAGGCTGGAAGCTCTTTGCCGCCAACCCTGGCTTTGCCTCAGGCACCGAACTTTCCAATATCAAGATATTAACAGATGGTCGTGAGCACATGGAGGGCTGTTACTTACATAATCCAGCCACTTCGCCTGGCCGCGCTGAGCCGGGCTAGGCGCCCGCCAGGCCGCGTGCGAACCTTCCGAGGGGTGCTCTTGCTCCCCGAAATAACTTGCCTTTCTCCAACCCCACCAAGCTCTTTGAGGGCTACGATTTGGAAAGGCTGTGGTTTCAGTAAAAGACACACATCGATCTGCTTGTGCTTTATCTTCTTCAACCCATAATAGTGAAAAAGCTGGAGACCCAAGGTCAGAGAGAAGAGGAGGGGACGCCTTCGGGGAGAACCCGGTGCTAGCTCTCTCCGTGTCTGGGGCTGTTAGGAGGTGGAATTCACCCAATTTACAGTCCCCCCCACACACACACCACCCCCACTACCACCACTGGTTCAGATCTGCACATCTTTCGCTGTCACCGAAATACAAAGGCAGGCTCGGGCCGCAGCGGAGCGGGAGTGGGGTGGGGTGAGGGTGTGAGTGCGAGGGGACGCCTTTGCACGCGGGGGCGCAGTGGGCAAAGTTACGCAAAACCTCCGGGTACCGCTACCCTTCCGAGTTGGTGCAGGTTTTTAAGCGCTCGTTCTGGCTTTCGGGGAGTTTCTTTCAGCGGTGTGGCCGCCTGCTGCCTTCACGCCCTCAGTCACCTCCCGAGAGGCCCGGTCCCTCCCGGGGTGCCTGTGTACCTCCGCCTGTGTGCCGGGGGTGGGGGGTGGGGGGGACGTGTGTGTGTTTGCCAAGCCTCCTCTCCGATGGCGACTCGGGGCTGCCAGAACCTGCGAGGATTACGCCTGCGATTGTTGGAAAAGTTTCGGGATGGGCGGGAAGGCTCCTCTCCTGGCGGGAGCGGTGCTTCTCTCCCGGGGCTTCCTCCTGGTGTCCCCCTCCCTCCTCGCCCGCCCTTCCTCGCCGCGGCTCCGCATTAGGTGTCGCGGCCTCAGGGACCGAGAAAGCGAGCGCGAGATGCTGCTGCCGTGGAGGCGGCGCGATCCCTGCGGAGGGCGAGTCTAGTGGCCCGCGCGGCCCGTGGGGGTCCACACCGCCCTGGCCACTCGCCTCGCCTGTCCCCGCCAGGTTYCCGCGTTCTTT